ATTAACAACCTCCTTCCGCAGTGTTAAACTTTGCCCTTGAGGCCTTTTGTTTAACTTTTTAATTTGAAAAACAGAATCTGCCCTCATCACAGTCTGGTCAGCACTCTCTGAAACCCTCTCCTCCTCCATTTTTTTTTTTTTAAGGTAAATAGACAGACATGTTTCTTTTTGTTTTTAAAATCTGTGACCTGCCCTCTTGGTGGAAAGAAAGAGACTGAAAGAGGTTTTTGAAGTTCTTGTACACATTAGGATGTTTGGTGTTCACTTAAGGAGTGGACCACGCCCTTGGCTTCATCTGCCATGTCTCCAGTAGCCTTGTGACCAAATTTTGGAAAATGGCCTCCATTTTCTAATTGCTCTCCATGATAGATAAGAAATGAAACAGATTGGAGCAATAGCCAGCCATCTCAAGCTTCCTGTTTAGGATGCAGTTGGATAGATATTGTTTATGGTTCATAAAACCTGACTACTGTGAGTATTCCAGAATCCCAGCAGAATAGGATTCCAACTTTCATGGAGCTGTAAATTAAGGGGCGGGAAGTGTGATGAAACTCCTTAGAGAACTGTGAAGGAGAAAAAAAATAAAAATAAAAAGGCGCACTGCAATGGTTAAATGAAATTTTATAAGCACATTCAGCGTGGAGCTGTTTTGCATTACATGAGTTGAATACCTTAGAGACTCCACATCTGCAGGCACTTTATTAAATCCTTAGTCAGCACTTTCCAACCTGATGAGATTACTTCTTCATCTGACTGGCTAGAAGGAAAGCTGAGCTCTTGTCCTGGGCTGCAGATTTCTTTTGATGTTTCACCTTGAACACTGCAAGAGGACAATCCTTCTCCCCCTCCCAAATACACACACTCACATCCCCTGCACATCCAAAACTGTAGACACCAGGGTGAATGTAACTGACTAATTTTACCCCACTGGAGTCTTTGGTGGAAATGTGGATTTATGGGCCTCCTAATCAACTGTAGCTGGGTGTTCCTGCAGGAAAAAAGAAAAAAAAAAAAGAAAGAAAAGAAGATCAAAGCTCTGTGTTTACTTCCTTAATGTAAATGTATCGAGATAACATCCTCAGATACTGTACTGTAGCCTTGCCTCTGACTGCAGATAGCAGACAGAGATTCCTTTGTAATCCTTCTGGATACAGCACGGTAGATTAAGGGGCTATAAAGGATGTAGGCAGAACCATATGAAACCTAAGCTTATGTCAGGAAATGTCCCCAGATGATTTTTTTTTTACTCTCCATAAATGATTTTTGTTTAATGTGTCAACATTTTCCCAATGATTTGCTATTCAGCCCCAGCAACTTAACAATCTCAGGTCTCTTTTTATATTTTTCCTGTAAGTGTAGCCCAACGAAGAGATATGCAGAATCACTCTTCAATGAGTGTTTTGAAACTTGCATAGCTTGCATAATAGGAATCAAAAGAAAGTATCACATGAAGAAAAAAAAATAAAGATCGTTTCTTTTCTTTCCCAAACATTACTGCGTCCACTGGATGTCATTAGCAGTCGACAGACTTCCACAGAATTCCAGTGGCTTCCCTACACAGCTGCCAAATTCATCACAGCAGCGTTTGAACAGCTTCAACTCTAACCTGATCATTAGAAAATGTGGCTGAGTGGATGAATTTATTTTTATTACAACTGTTTCTCGGCTATCTCCATGGATGATTTAGTCAGAGACCACATTCAAAAGAAGTGGGGGAGGACAATTCCTGTGTGGTTCCCCTAACTGACTTCCCATTCTGAAAACCCTTGGTCAAGTAGCTGGGTTAATTGTCATTGAGATTAGTGTGATGTTGAAATAAGTACTAATGGTCAAATTATAGGAGTGAAAAAGTGGAAGAATAGGTTTTGGTTTGGGCCTGAAAGGGTTAATTAAGGTTTTTTCACGGGTTATTAAAGACCCCCAACCCCTGCCTTAGGAGTCATATTGATACCCCACCACAGGGCAGCTTGGCTCCTCTATTGATGTGTTGCTGGTCAGAGCACAAAAGCCTTCTGTGTCGGCAAATCATTGCTAAAATCATCTCAAGGAAAAAAAAAAAAGTTCGCAAGCTTTAACGTTAGACAAAAGCCCAAGAGTTGCAGTGTGCAGCTCGAAAACTCGGAGTCAGCAACTTCTATTGATTAAAAACTAACCTTTAAAGTAACTCTGAGAGTGTGTGGTTAGCATTTAAATTTAAACATGTCATGAGTTGATTTGTGTTACTGAATACCAACTCAGGAGGAGTAACATTCGAATCACATTTTTTTTTCTAATTCCCTTAAGCAGCTAAAGTATTTCATGAAATGTCAATAGGGCAAAAAAAAAAGGGGGGGTTGGGGAGCTGAGGCTGGGCCTTGTAGTTTTTTTCCCATGCAAATAGTCACACACACACACAGACACACAGACACACACACACACACACACACACACCCTGCAAAAAAAAGAAGAGTGTGGAGAGGGAAACACAATAATTAGTCCTTTGTCTAACTTTCCCAAGTGCCAAAGAAAGATAGATTAATTAAATATACAACAGTGTTGGTTTCTGGAGTGGGGGGTCTTGCTTGCTGGGTAGGTCATAAATTAGGCAGAATAAATACTTCAATGTGTTTGCAGTGGGCCTGCTACGTCAGAACCACTGGAAGGTTGGTGGGAGGAGAGTGGAGGGTTTCTTGCTAATGATAGTCACGTCTGGGTCTGTCTGGTTGCTCTTAGCAACCAGACATGATGTAACACCAGGATGAACTTGAACTTGGGGGACTTGAAAAGAGAACAATAGACCAGAGCAATCAATAAAGCCTATTTCAGTGAAGGATTACAGAGCTGCTCTGGGTAACCTTGTCGGCAAGGCACATACTGAATAGTAAGATGTGTGAAGAAACTTTTTTTCCCTCCTGCTTTGCTTTTTAAGAGAAGTGCAGAGGCACTGCAGATTTTTGTAGTGCCCTGAGGTCTCATCCAGAAATGGTGGGATAGAAAACTGCTCCCCCTGCTGACTAGCACTGGGCCTCAGCCCTTTGCCTTAAGAACTACGGATTGTCACATTGAAGAAGCCGGGAATTTCACAACTGCCTTAGAAAGTGTGCAAACAAATAGGAAGCCTTATTTGCCCTACTGAAAGTCTAGAGACTAGTGTTCAAGAGAGAAAGTATCTCTAATGAGGATCAGCATACGCTATTAGGAGACAAACCAACTGAAAATACATGCATACTTTGGGACCTGCCTCTCTCTCTTTTTCCTTTCTCCCTCATCTTTCTTTTGTCCACTTAGATTTAGGCCGTGTGTCCCTACCAGGATGATTCCCTTTCAGGACATAAGAAGTTTATTGTGTTTCCCCAGAGCATGTGGTTAAAGAATAGCATCTAACAGTATACAGGATGATAGGTGTTTTTTGTTTGTTTGTTTTTTTCTTTTCAGTTTAGGCTTAGGTTTTTAATTTAAACTGCTTTGGAAATCAAAGGTAGCTGATGTGACCAAGAAATCTTACACCAATCTCCATGGAGCTATTATTTATTCCTGGGATCAAATAAGTCCACACTTTACTTAATTGAATCTCTGGGGCAAGGATGAGCCCAAATATAATCCTTCTGACATGGCCAGCTCAGCAAGCATCAAAGTATTCACTTTTGCTAGGAGATGGTGATTTTTTTTTTCCTGTGACTCCAAATAAACATAGCGAGTTTTTCAGGGTATCAAAGGAGGAAAGTTACCAGGCACCAGTACTCACACCTGTAGTCCTAGCTATTCAGGAAGCTAAAATCCGAAGGATCACATTTCCAGGCCAGCACAGGCAGAAAAGTCTTCAAGACTCCAGATCTAAAATAACCAACAAGAAGCTGGGCTGGAAGTATGCACAAGCAATAGAATGCCAGCTGAGCAAACAAACTAAACAAGCATATGGTGCTGAGTTCAAACCCTAGTACCAGTAAATAACAAACAAACAAATACATGCAATAGAGGAAAGTTAGCAAAACCATGTTTCTTTAAAACATTTTTTAGAGTATAATTTGGTCATTTTCTTTAGCTAAATTTTCTGACAAGGAAATACCAGTGGATAAAGTGATGTATCGCCAAATTCTGTGAAAGAATGTCTCTGAAAGGAAGAGGTAACTGAACCACAGAACTCCCAAGTACATGTTGAATGGACAGAAGCAAGAATGAAGGGTGTACAGTGATAAGTTCTTCCCCTTGGACCTCATGGTGAAGATTGATACCATCTGATTCTGATGTCCTTTCTAAAATGATTAGTTCCAAAGCAACTTAGATTTACATCCTAAAATCTACCTCCACAACTATAGAGAAGAGTATAAGAAAATCTGTCACTTGCCCCAAATCTTCCAGGATACCGGATAAACAGCTGTTTTCCCACCTCACCTCACTTCTTACAGTATTGCTATTGGTTACCTGTGTCTGTTAGAGAATGTTGTAGTTTATGTGTTCTGCACCCACCCCTCATCTAAAAGGAGATACTGTAAGAATCACCTGAACATCACCACTCATCACCACATGAAGCCTCTCCCTTCGCTCATCCTCCATTCATTCCAGCCTTCCTTGCATTCATCCTTTATTCCGGGCACTGGGCTAGACACTAAGGATTGAATGATAAACAAGACTCTCAAGTCTCTTGCCTCCTGGAAGTGCTCCCTCCCGGACTACAAAACTTGATTTGAATTTCAAGGGGCTGGAAAAGCCTCATTTTGTAAGATACACTCAATACTGGCAATCCCCAACACAGACGTTGAATTTTAATTTTGGAGGAGTATTGTGTCACTGTATCAACATTTTCTGTTATACATCACTCCCTTTCTTTTCCCAATAGTAGATCCTGATTCCATGGTTGGAAGGGCAACGTACAAAATATGCCATTGAATGAATTGGTTTGTGTTTTGCAGTTCTGAGGGTTGACTCCAGGGCCCTGCCCTTACTAGGCAAGTATTCTACTACTGAGCTCCATCCCTCAATCCTAACTTCTCTCTAATTATACTTTTCCTTTTGTCTTCCAGTCCTGGTACCTGGGATAAAAGTTGCAGCATCCCACCATCCACCAGACAGACCACCTGACCCCTTCTCAACTCTGTAACATGGACGCAACCTCAACCCAGCGCGGTTACAACTTCACTGTCAGTGGAAGGGGAGAACAAAAACAAAACAAAACAAAAAAGCCGATTTGAATCAACTTGTACATGGAAACAAGCAAAGCATTATGGTCCAACAGCAAAGGCCATAATCTTTTGGGATTTTTTTTTTTAATACTTTAGGGACTGTGGTCATTTCTCATATGGTGCTGGAAATGGTTGAAGGCTCTGTAGCATTTGAAGTGTTTCGGTGGTGGTATGAGCAGTCGGGTTATGTGGCTGGCAAGGTCTGCGCTTGCTCACTGACACACTTCCCCTTGCTGCAGAGTCTAGCCGTTTCACAGTATTTCATGAATTTACCCACACAGGTGTGATCCTCCTTGAGTTCCTTCAGGAGGTTCTTGGAGAACTAAATCTTTTGTAGTAGCTGAGATCTGCAATATCTAACTTACGGGACAGTCAAAGGGCAATGTTTTTCTGTAACATATTGGAAAAAGAAAACGCAGTTAACGTTCCTTTCTGATTTTCTTTTACTTTGGTTTGGTTCAGCAAGTCCGCAGTTAAAGTGTTAACGTGGCCCACAAGGACAATGAATCCACTCACATTGCAGAACAATTCCGAAAATGGCAAACTACTACGACGATTCAGTTTTGTTTTTAAGTTTGGAAATGCTGCACTTACATTAAAAAAAAAAAAAGCATTTTTTTCAACAATTTCAACAATGACACACAAAAAATCACATGGAAATGGGGAAGATGGTCTGTTTTGACAGAAACTGACAGGAATCAATCAAAACAATCGAATTTTGAATTGAGTGAAGTGCAATTTCATTGGATAGCTAAATATCTTTGTAAGATAGAGATTGTTGAAAATTCTATTTTTGTTTTTCAAGTCCTTCCACCCCAGGACTCTAAATTATTGGGGTAAAAAAAAAACAGCCTTGCAAGAAAAAGGGGAGCTATTTTTGCTTTTTATGTTTTTTATTGTTAAACTTGTATCCCTTTAAAAAAAAAAACGAAGGAAAATTTAAAAAAACAAAAAAAAAACAAAAAAAACAAATCTAATGGTGCTTTTACCACAATATGTTAACTACATTAAATGCTAATTAATTATTTTCTGTTATCAAAGCACATAACTAAAATGAAATCATGGTATCTGTTAATTTTATAAGCTAGAAGTCACTATAATGAATTATGCCAATTCTGAAAGTTTTTACATGTATCTGGCAACATAGGATTTATCAGTTATCAGACACTTCATTGTACCAGAGATTGTCCAGAAGTTTTTAAGACCTCTGTGCCCTTGAACTGGGCTATGGGAACTAATAATAATAATAATAATAATTAATAATAATGAAACCAATACTGACACAAATGCAGGTGCCCATTCAGATCAAGGGTACTTGTAAGGGAAAAAAAAAAGTTTGCACCCCCCAAATGTCCTGTATCTTATGTAAAAAACAAAAAATGCATAAAAAAACACACAAAAAAAAACAGAAATAAAAAAAAAAGTGCAAGTGATTTTTCTACCGGACAGCGAAGCACCCCTTTGCTTCCCGCAACTTCACAAAGGTTTCCTATACTATACATATATATATGTTCTGGTTGGCAGGCCTTGCTGATCGGAGGAAGTCTCTGCATGTTCTAGTGTTAGTAACTAATTTTTATATAGTTAATGTAGGATAAAGTAGAGTGCATTAAGACACAATATTGTAATCCCTCCTCTAGGCACTTGCCTTTAAACTATGTTTTTTTTTTTCCGCCCTTCAGAAGGGCTCTACTACTGTCCTTTACAATCAAGTAACTGAAATTCTTGGGAAGACACTTTGCTCCTCATCTTTCCCCCCTTTCCCTTCCCACTCCTCCCCCAAACAATGTTGTTTTGTTTTGTTTTGTTTCCTTAATTTGCACGAAAACAAAAATTCCATATCAATGTGCCTTGCCCTGGATAGCGATTATTTGTGGAATTGTTGCACAGGCTCCTCTTTTGAAAAGGGGTTTTCCCTAAATCAAACATTTGGAGACACTTTTTTTTTTCTTTTCTTCTTTTTTTTTTTTTTTTTTAATTGGTAAATGTGACTTTTATGTCAGCCATTGTAAGTTTCAACATCTAGAACTAAATAGGAAGCTAGTTGTTCCGCAGGTAGAGTAGTCCTTATTGTCCTGTAGGTCAGTGGCAGTGCTATTCTGAGATCTGTCCATGCTTAGAATATCAGTATTTTGGATGTTGCTGCATTTTACAATTTATTTGGAGTCTTCCTTTATTTTTCCCCAGATATATGAAAATATGCAATACCTGCTTATATCATGTAGAAAAGCTTAGCGAATGTTATTTTTTCTTTTTTTTTTTTTTATTTGACCAAAGTCGGTGCTGCACTTGATGCAGTGTGTTTTAGGTGTTTGTCTTTGTACTTATTTTGTGTGATTTTTTTTTTTTTTTGAATGCACGCAGGAAGGGCTCCTCTTAGAGAAGCAGTCAAACTGTGAAGCACTAAGCTGACCCTGCTTCAAGCAATTTTGTTTTTACAACTGTTCCTTTCACAAGCAAGCCTTAAAAAAAAATAAAAATAAAAAAGACAACTTCCTTTTTCTTCAGCTCCCACACCCCATTTTTCTTAGCAGACTGCAAGTCAATCCACATTCAATAAAAAGTATATAATGCCCATTTTTATATGCACGTTTTTAAACTTCCAAGTTCTGAAAATTGTTTACTGGTTATCTCTATTTAAGGAAAATAAAATAAAACATTTTGGATTTTCATATGTGTCTGATAAGTGGTTGAATAGTTGTTTGGTGTGATTGTCAGTGTACAATGTCACTACAAATAGCCAGCCAGCATACTTTGCCTTCCTTATATAGCACTTAGCTGGGCATTACTTTATTATGACATATGTGCACTAAAAAAAAAAAAAAAAAGAAAAAGAAAGAAAGAAAAAAAAAACAGAAAAAAAATAGCAGCTTTCAGTGCTTCACAGTGAAGGAAAAAAAAGCCTAGACAAACATTTTGTCAGAACCTTGCAATAAAGCCAAGGTATTACCAGTAAATTGGTTGTATATACAATAAAAATTGCACCCTTTTTTAAACAAAACAAACTAAGCAATAGTTTGGGGCAGTTTTAGTTGTTTTTAGTGAGCATGTTGTAGTCAAGACTGCAAAGAGAGAGAATCAACTGCCCACTCAGAAGATATGTAATTTGTATTGTTGTATAGTTTTATTGATTACACTGATTTATTCTACCCTATTTTATAATGCAAGACTTTTGTAATGTTGTTTAAATGAGGAAACATTTCTGTCAAATTAGCCTAGTGAAATTTCTGATTGTTCATTATCAAGACAGCATTCATAGAATTGCTTTTCTTTCTATTTCCCCTCCCCTGTGGGAACTGGATTTAAGTTTAAAACTTTCCTGTTTCCTTTTTATTTTTTGTAAGTATTTAAATACAGTTATTTTTTTTCTCTCAATGGTATAGCATATTCCTATGCTTGAGAAGTATAGGTCTACTGAAGAACCATTGTAAATGGACGTTACAGGTATGCTGTATTTTTGAAGGCATTTTGTTGTATTAAGTTTGATGAAGCTAAAATTGGGGAATTCTGAACAGATTTGTAGGGAATAAATGTTTTAAAGGCTTTAAAACATTAGGGAGGCAGTCTAGGGTGATCACAAACAGGGGTTAAGTATTCAGTACACTAAGTTACATTTCTGTTCATGTTTCTTTACCCAGAAAGCAGCAGGAAACTGTAATTCAGTCATGATCAAGCAGGAAAAGAAACACCAACCATCCACCTTTTAAGATTAAAAGCTGAACAAAGATGTTTGAGGAAGACTTTGCTACTGGGGTGTGTAGAAAGGCAGAGAGCTATCAGCATCTGAAGGCCTAGCCCTCGATTCCAAGACACATCTGAATTTTTTTTTCTCTTTCATCAAAAGGCATTAACAGGATTTGGCCAAGAAAGTCCCCTCAAATGACTGAGGTTTTTTTTGTTTTGTTTTGTTTTGTGTTTTGTGGGTTTTTTTGTTTTTGTTTTTGTTTTTGTTTTTTCCTTTAGGAACTGAAGTCAGAGGCACAAACACTAACTCTACGCATTTTTCAATGTTTTTCCTTTTGGCTTCTCTTCTCCCAGCCACCACACGGCTGTTCCCAGCTTTGCTGGGTGCAGGCCCACTCCCTGTTGCTGCTTTCTCCACCTTGTTCTTCCTTGGGATGGTTCTAATCCTTCACCCCTACCTAGCATGACAGTAATTAACTGACAGCTGATTCCCCGGCCACGCATCTCCAGCCACCATCACCCAAGTGGGAGCCAGGCAGGCCCAGAAGGCTACACTTCTTCAAGCTTATGCTCTTTGTTTTCTGACAGCCAATGGATAAAAGACCCAAACTCTCTAGTCATGGTGTCACAGTATGCAGTCAGCCCATAGGAATATGTAAAACCCAACTCAACAAGTTTATCTTCCACTTTTTCAAATTCTTAACCTCTCACAGGTTTTGAGTTATATAGTGTCAGTGTCCTAAGGTATTTACAAAATTTGGATTAAGGAAAACATTTATTTCTCTTGTGATTTTAGGGGGGGGAGGGATTTCTAAGAATGTCATTTCATGTGCTTTGAAGCACATTTCCTCTCCTCAGTGGTGGTAGTTTCTCTCTCTCTCTCTCTGAATGTGTGTATGTGTCTCTGTCTCTCTGGTTTTTGTTTGCTTCTTTCTCCTTTTTTTCCTGGATTTTGGTAGCAGGCCTCCACAGGGCAAGTGTGAGACACAAATGGCATGGTAATATAAGGAGAGCTTTGGTGGTACCTCATTACCCGCCCCCCCCCGCCCCGCCCCCAACCTGTCCTAAAGGATCTCAGCTCTGCTCTGCCTTCCCCTTGGGCACGGCTTTCATTCCCATCGGCTTCTGAGGCCATTTCTTCTTGAAGTCCATGCATGTACTTCTTGTGTGACTTTAAACCCGCTCTGCCTTCTCCATGTCCAAGGCTGTGCATTCTCTAATTAGTGTCATGTATGTTTCCCTTTTATTTTTCCCAATTTTAAAAAAAAAAAAAGCAGTGGGATGAAAATTGCTTTGATAGATAGCAGGTAACATTGAAGCTATTCCATAGCACTTAACCGTAGTGAATACTGTGTCACCAATTCTGAAATCAATTTAATGTTTAATGCAAATCCATTACATGGTGCTATTACAGGCTGACAAAATGATTTAAACAAATGTGACAACTTGGGCTCAATTCACTCTGCTTTCCAACAGTGTAAACGCATAGCAGTGTTTATCTGCATGAGAACTATGCACTAATCTATCTGAAGAAGAAAACTACTATATCAACTTTGGTATCTACTTTCCGTTTACTTCGATCCTTGCCTTTGGTCATTGTTATAATGCCAGCTTTAGGACAGAAAGAATTATAAGAAAACCAGCATAATACCTGATATATTAAAATGTAGTGCCTGTGAAAATCTGTATTATATTGCTCTTCTGAAGTAAGATTTTTCTACACCGGTAGCCTTCGCTGTCTGTCAGTCAGGACCTCTGGTATAGGTGTTGTAAAATAACCGTACAATATTAATGCATGCTATTCCATAATGCTTAGTGAACTGTATGAATATTACTCAAAGTTATGTTAGTCTTTTTTTTTTTCCTGACTTGGTTCTTGTCAGCTAGGTTTAAAGGTATTTCACTGAGAACGCAAAATTCTGTCTTTTCTTGACTTCAGCTGTTTTCAGTATTTTGGAGGTATACATTTACTTAAATTCAGTATTACTTGTGTTTTTGTTTTGGGTTTTTTGTTGTTGTTGTTTTCTTTTTTTTTCCTAGGGGACAAGCATGGGTGTTTGGTTTCAGAAATCAGTACCTGGTGAGAATTTTGTCTCAAAATTACTGCGCCAACTTCAAGAACTCTGCTATAAAGCCACTCTGAGAGCATCTGCAGGGGCGGGACACTGCTTTACTGAGGCTGAAGTGCTTTCTAAATGGACTGCGTTCAGGCAGTACCCATGTTTGATCCGGCTTCACACCAGACCTCCTCACCTTAAAAGGAAAAAGAAAAGAAAAACTTGGAAGAAATCACGTGGCTATTTAGTTTCATGCACAGTTGGAATATCTTCTTCAAAAACAAAATTCTGTACAAACTTTGGGCCCGATTCATAAGAAAAAAAGTTTGCTATTAACACGGGATTTTTTGTTGTTATTTAAATGTACTTTTATTTGATTTAAATTTGCAACCATTTGCTTCCCAGGTGAAATAAATTCCATCTTTTTTTTTTCCCCTAAGCCAGGGCCCATCTGCCTTTTATTCTTCCAAAGGGTTTGAATAAAGCAGATTAGAGAGATGGGGTATTGGAAGCAAATCCCAGCCAATGCGTAGATAAGTGGGATGCCCAGCATCGGGCATGAGGATGGGAGACAGCACATTGGAATAGAATCTCTTGGGCATCCTCAGTTTCCCATATGGACTTTTGTGTTGTTTGGCTCAGAAAACAAACTTCCCAAAATAAATCTGGACCACCAGAGTCTACAGTGGAAGTGCCACCTGTAATCTAACCAGAGTACTTTCCTGGTGGCAACACCCACCGGCTTACATAATGTGAATTTTTTTTTTATCTCTACCATGGTTTCAAAGACAAGTAGCACCCAATCAACTGGGCCACTGTTCCTGCTATTTTCTGCTCAACTTCTCAAAATGATTCTAATTTTTTCTTTTCTTTTTTTCTTCTTGGCTGTATTTGTGTTATTCCTTTTTTTTTATTTTTTATTTTTTCGTGGTAATAGCCTGTAAGTTTGCTCTTCTACATTTCTCTCTCACATCTCAACCAGAAAATTCTAAGGCCATTGGCCACATTGAATGGGAGGTGTGAGGAGCTCCCAGTCTGTTCTCTCTCCCTGGTTGGGTCTCAGACCATCAGTTCTGCACTGCGAAGGCTCTGGGTAACCTGGACCCTGACATACCCACCAGGCTAGTCTAGTTGATGCACTGGGTTTCTGGAAGTCAGGCCTAGTCTGTGGGACTTTCTCTGCTATCAACCCTAACTGCTCTCCCTGACCCCCAACAGCTTCCCTGGGGACTTTTCTCACCATATCTACAAATTATGCCGCTCAAAAAGCCTCTGATTTTCATCTCAAATTGTGGGGGAGGGGATTAAATACTTCCAGTGATGGCAAAAGAGATCTATTTTTGAAATGAAACCACCCCCCCGTGTTAATATCTTGGTCTGAAATCCATTGGCTTTTTTTTTTTTTTTTTGGTTTTTTTTTTTGTTGTTTTTTTGGGTTTTTTTTTGTTTTTTTTTTTTATGAGCCGGGCCCCCTGTGCCTCCAGTATACTTGTATTGACTCTCATAGTTACCCTTTTAGTTGACTGTGTTCTGTGAAAATTTGTAATTGGTTGAGAATCACTGTGGGCGTCCATTCTTATTCAACTAAATCTCCACAGGGTTTTTGAGCTGGTGTGGATTAGTTTAACTCTTGTATTCAACCGTTAGTGCTACCACTTTCTCACATTACAATACAATTACTGGAAGCGAGTACTGCATTTCCTATGCAACAAAAAAGGAAAAATAAAAAATTGCTAATGCTATGGAAGCTGTGTTGTCCTTTATTTTACATCATGTCTGGATGGATGCGTGACAGCTATGGGTATGATGTGGCCCCAGAACATGGTTTTTGTACTCCAGGTGTTTCTCGTAGCCTGGGTAGATGTTAGAAGCAGAGCATCTTTCTGGATATTGTTATTTTCCACCTACCTGGACAGAAACAGGATTCAACATCCACATGATGCTTCTTAGGTACCTGATACTGTCTTAAGTGCTTTATGTACCATGTCAGGGCCAGGAATAATTGGGGGTGGGGAGTCCAGTCATGGAGCCTGAACTCTGGGCCTGGACGTTGTCCCTCACCTCTTCAGCTCAAAGCTAGTGCTCTACCACTTGAGCCACAGCACCACGTCCAGCTTTTTTTCTTTTTTTTGCTTATGTGGTGCTGAGGAATCAAACCCAGGGCATCAGGCATGCAAGGCAAGCGCTCTACCACTGAGCCACCTTCCCAGCCCACTCCCCTAGGTCCTACAAAGGCTTTGAAGTACTCAGGATGTTAATAACTATAGGATTCAGCAAACAGTTGTGGAGCTGGGGATAAAAGGGAAGGGCTGGGTCCCAGAACCTAATTGCTAGGGAGGGACATAGCTGATATTTGTGTCTATCCAGGGAAGGGGCATCATCAGGGCTGGGATGCCTGCAACATGACTGGTACTCAGAGCCCTGGGGGAAAATGGATGTATGATGCTAGATCTATTCACAGGGCCAGGCACAAGGAGCTGGAAGTATATAGGCAGGAGCTTAGCACGATGGACACAGGTAAACCTCTTCCTAAGCACTTTCAGATTAGTTTGAAGCAGATGGTAGGCAGCCTATTATTTCAGTCATAAAAGTAAGAATACATCTCTAAAAGACAAGTGTCCTTTGTGAACTACATAAAATACTTTTTTTTTGGGTCGGTCATGGGGCTTTAACTCTGGGCCTGGATGCTGTCCCTCAGCCCTCCAGCTCAAGGCTAGTGCTCTCCTACTTGAGCCACAGCGCCACTTCCATTTTTCTGGTGGTTTATTGGAGACTAGAGTCTCACAGCCTTTCCTTCCCAGGCTGGCTTTGATCCATGATCCTCAAATCTCAGCCACCTGAGTAGCTAGGATTACAGGCGTGAGCCACCGGCACTCAGTATCACAAAATACTTTTAACACAAAATACTGACAATAATTCTTTGATATGACTGAATAATTCATGTCTTCAAATATTCCCAACCATCTTATAAATTTTAATAGTTTCTCTGAATAAGAACCCAAATAAGATTCATTCATTAAGTGGTTGGTACTATCTTTTTTTTAATTCAATTTTTTTTTCTAGTCCTAGGGCTTGAAATCAGGGCCTAGTTGCTGTCCTTGAGCTTCTTTTGCTCAGGTCTAGTGCTCTACCACTTGAGCCACAGCTCCACTCCCAGCCTTTCATGACCAATTGGAGATAAGAGTCTTATGGACTTTCCTGCCCAGACTGGTTTTGAATGCGAGCCTCAGATCTCAGCCTCCTGAGTAGCTAGGAGCCACACATACCTGACCATATTTTATTTTTATTTTTGTGCCAGTCCTGGGGCTTGAACTCAGGGACTAAGTATTGTCCTTGCACTTTTTTTTTTTTTTTTGCTAAAAGCAGTCTACCACTTGATCTACCACTCTACTCCCAGGTTTTTTGGTAGTTACTTGGACCTAAGAAGTCTCCTGGACTTTCCTTTCTCAGGCTGGCTTTGAACCATGCTCTTCAGATCTCAGCCTCTGAATAGCTAGGATTATAGATGTAAGCCACCAGTGCCCAGTCAATTTTATAGTATCTTAAGTCTCTAAATCTACAAAACTGTCCTTCCATCTTTGTATTTTCCTTGAGATAATTTTCTGACGAAACTAGTTCCTTTATCTGGAATAGGTTATCCTAGGATTTTTGTGCCTTGTATCTTGTGGCATAGATCAATGTCTTTTATCATTAGAATAGAAGCATTTTCGGAAGTGGCGCTGTAGCTCAAGTGGTAGAGCGCTTGCCTTGAGCTGAAGAGCTGAGGCACAGTGCCCAGGCCCAGAGTTCAAGCCCCACGACTGACCAAAAAAAAAAAAAGAATAGAAGCATTTTCATAACCTTGGAAGTTGAACCATAGGATCCCATCCCAAGACTATCTCACAGGTTTGGAATGCTTGGGCCCTGACTTCACAAAAAATAAGCCAAAGAAAAAGGTATTACAGGAGCTTTTCCCCATCAACTCCACCCCTAGCCAGTGTTTTCTCTCTTTCAGAGGATACTGCTGAGCAGAGAACTCGGTCCTCCCTTGCCCCTTTCAGCTGGCAATCTTAACAACAGCAGCAGCAAAAAGAACAACAGCCTTTGCCTTACAGGAGAATAAAATAAGTAATTGTGGTTGAAAAGTCAGGTGAAAATCAACTGTGTGGCTCCTTGTTCATGGTGCCACTCCCAAAGTGCATGCTTTTGGGAAACAGAAGTCAATTCTGGGCAGGAGAGAAGGAACTACCTTTCATCAGCTACTATGACAACATCATGACTCGATTCTTAAGGGCCCCAAGGTCAAGGACATGTGGTCCACATGCTACCTCCTTTCCACCATCTTGGCTTCTGAGCATTGGCCTGGACCATACACCTTGTCAAATCATTCGAAATAAACTCAACTGAGTACCTGATGTGTGTCAAAAAAAAAAAAAAGAAAGAAAGAAAGAAAGGAAGAAAGAAAGGAAGGAAGAAAGAAAGAAAAGAAACTTTTAAGATTGGCAAAGGAAGAAAGCCCCAAAATTATCCCAGAAGAGTACAGAGTCTGGCAGAGAGAGCCAATATGCAAACCAAATAATGGCAGCATATCCTTGTCAGAACCAAGAAGGTACCGTGTGCCAGGTAATCCAAAGCCCAACTATACCCTGGAGAAGAAATGATGCTATAACAATATACCTGTGACTGGGACATTGATAAAGAAGAGGTTTACTGGGAAGGCCTTGCTGCATCCTAATACGGCAGAGGGATCATGTGGCAAGACTGAGGGAGTGTGCCTGCTGAAGACTCTCTTCCTTTCCTTGAACAGCCTGTGATGCCAATAAAGAGATGCCACCTTTATTTCATCTAATTCTACTTAGATCCCAAAGGCCCCACCTGCAAATGGCATTACTTCGTGAATTTGGGGCCAGGTACTGGGAGCTCAGACCACCTGTCTTTCTACCTACTCAGGAGGCTGAAATTGAGGATTGAGGTTTGAAGTTCAAAGCCAGTCCAAGGAAGAAAAATCCCCCAGACTCTCCCTTCCAGTTAATACCAGCAAAAAACTGGAAATGACACTTTGACTCAAGCGGTAGAGCTCCAGCCTTGAGCTAAAAGGCTAAGGGATAGCCTCCAAGCCCTGAGTTTAAGCCCTAGTACTGGCACAAACCAAAAAATAAAATGTGCATTTGAAGACTGAGTTTAACACATGAGCCAAACTGGGGAGCCTGAGGGAGGAGATATCCAACTTAGGTCTTCAAGAATGAGGAAGAGTTACAGAAACTGGCTGGCAGACACTAGTGCTAATAATAGTGAGAGCAGCTGACATGACTGAGTGAACCCTTACCACTGTGTTGTAAGTGCTTCTGCGATCTCACACTTAGAATCCGGGCTCTTGAAGGATATTTCATTTCTATCCTCAATTTGCAGATGAGAATACTAAGGCACAAAAAGTTTCTGTAACTTCCTTTTGCTTACTTATTTTACTAATTGCCCAGGTGTGGCCTTAAAGTGCAGCCACTTGGATACCTAAGAAGTAGAGATTGTGCAAGTCACAACTAGACACCAATGGAAGTCAAGGTCATGGGTATCCCTCCCTGTGGCGCCCAGGGCAGCGCACAGCACACAGAGGCATTTCATGCCGTGAAAGGTGATCATTGTATTTGCCTTTCCAGATCTACCCTCCACCTTCTCCAAGTTGTTTGCTCAGGAAAGCAGCCTGTTTGGATCAGGTCAGGGCTTCCTTGACCTCAGGCCTTCAACTGGGATCAGCAATTTGGAAATCCTGTTCGAGATTGGTGAGAGAGAAGAGAGTGATGTCAGGGTATTTATTTCCAGGGCTCTGGTCCCTGAGTCCTGTCTAGCTTGCAGCATTCAATATAACGTGTGCCCTCTCTGCAGATGCTTCTCTGTACCCTAGTTTCCGATAACCACCTCCCCAACTCCACCCCCTTACACCTTTAAGAATGAGGGAGTAAGAGTTTTGGAGTACCACTCCATTTTTTGTAATCTCTCCACATCTCACCCACCTTTGTAAACAGTCTCTTTATTAAACCCCTCTCAAATCACCTTGAGCTGAAGCTGCCATCTGTTTCCTGCTGGAACGCTGATGGATAGAGTGGTCAAGCCAGAGCAGCTTCCCGAATCTTCTTTCTCCTGAAACTCTAGCAGAGGCTCAGATTTATTCTCATGATGGATGTCAGAACCATAAACTTTCCCATCTTAGTTTATCCTAGACTCAGAAGGCTGGACTCAACCTTCAAAGGTCACTGAAGTCCATTTCCCTGCTTCCACCAAGGAATCTCCCTCTACACCCCCCCCCCCCCACTCCCAAGTGCGCCTGTCAGAGGAAGTATATCTTACTTTGAAGATCTCCAGGTAAAGAGAGATCATAACTCACTCCAGGGCTTTCTGTCTCCTTGCTTGATAAATCTCTCTCCTGTCTAATAGGAATCCCTCCTGTTACAGGTGAAGCCTGTTTCCTTTGTCTGTTCTTTGGCAAGAGCTGGGGGTTGGGGGGGAGAAGATCCTTCATTCTTTCAAAACAGGCATTAAATCACCCTTACCCTTCTCCAGCTCTGATGTGTACATCAATGATAGCAGATAATCTGCACATGTCAGTCTCAAGTAGTCAACTGGATATGCCAGGAGAATCCTGGGCTGTAACGATCACTTTCCAGAATGAGTTTGAAAGGTTAGTCAGTGGAGGAAAAGAATACATGGAGCCTAAGTCTCCACGAAGAACAAAAAAAGGCTCATTGAGTTCCTGACAGAAGTAATAGTG